ACCCAAATCCATTAGGCTTCTCAGTAAGCCTTAATTCATACTTCGTGTTTAAAAGTGACGTAGTCTCGTTTGAAATTCAGTCAGTAGTGAACACATCATAACTGTCAGTTTATTGGGAATTATATGTTTTACGGTTGTTCAGCTAATTTATGGTATTTAACATAAATTAAGTCGATTTTGAATGTGATTTCTTCATTTTTATGAAATAAAAAAACGATAAATCGTATGCCATTTTAATTTAGCCATAAATTACATGCATGAAAGTTTCATTGGAACCACATAAATTTGAATTTTTAAACAGAGAAAATGATCGCCATCATCATCATTATAACATGATTTCACTCAATAAATATTCATTCTTTCCTACATGACAAGTTTTCATTTTATTGACATGACAAACATCTTGTACATAATATTAGTTATTACGTCATTAGAACAAGTCGGGGCATTTTAACAGAAAAAGAAAAAGCAGAATAGTTTTAATGCAGCTGTTTGAATCATTATAACATGCATAATCAACTTGTATCTTATTTTCTTACTTCATTTTATTTTACAAACGCACACTTCGTCTAGCTGTTCAATTCATTCAACAACTACTACATTCAGTATGTCTGTGCGTCTTCTATTCATAGTAATTTGGTGAGAATTGTCCAAATCTTTTTCTTCATTGTGTGTGTGTGTATGTTCAATTTTTAATGTCTTTTAATTGATAATAAATGCATGAATTATTAAATCACAAAACAATTTTCTCTAATAATCTAGGTCAAGAAATGAAATCAACAGGAATTGAACAGAAGCAATACATACATAACTGGGCCTGATTGCATTAGATGAAAACATTAATCATAAGAGTATTATAGAGAGATGTATGTACATACACACCCAAACACAACAACATTAAAATTGCATTACTAACATAAAAGTTTCCGTTGTTTTTTTTTCAGTTAATAAGTTCGGTTTAGATTATTTGGTCAAGTAGTAAGTAAACTGATCAAAAAGAATTGTTCATTGTCTGTTCTCTTCCCATCTTTTTTTTCTAACGAAAAACTATTCACATACAAAACAACTGTTATCATGATTAGTTTTAGTGTCATTATGCAATCTGAAAATATTTTTAATGGATCCTAACTGATAAAGTGGATACATTTAAATGCAGAATAAACTTATACTATTTATCAGTATTTGATGTATTCAGAACATTGTTTTATAAAAAACAGTTATGTAGATTAGTCAATTTTGAGTTAGCTTTCATCAATAATGAACATTGACTGATGAATAATTGGAGACCAACTGTTTTGTTTTGATTTATAACTACTCACAGAATCGCATAATATTGAAATTAATTTCGATCAAGTCCAGTGGTTTAGAACTATAACTTTGGAAAATTCACTATCAAGTGAACCAATTATTTCTATCCCACAACTTGATTGATAAAATTCGATCGACACTAAATAGGTCCCGACACTCATGACACTGTTCACTGCTTCAATGAATGATCAATCAATTATAAATTATCTGATTCATTTCCGTTATGGTTAAAATGTATGAAACGAGAAGAGAATAACCAGTCTACATTAGTAGTTAATGTGTGCCACATTCTAAACAATATTTAAATAACAAATTCTTTATGCTAAGAAAACATGTATTCTTAGGTTCACCAATTATCAATCAAATGTAGATAACTTATTTAAGTGTGAGGTGGAAAAATGGGATTGTTTTAAAGTTAGCCTTTGGAACTGTGTTCACATGTATAAATTCAAGACTTTGAAAGAAATTAATTATCTTGGAAATTATTCCCAAAAATTATATTTGAAATCATGTCAGCTGTTGAAATGTAAATAATTCTAATGTTTTCAAAATAATATATAATATAATATATACTCGGTGGTCAAATTTCTTACTGAAATCGTGAATGAATCATTGTAATAACACCATTAGTAACCTGTAAGCACTGGAAAGCCATTTCATCCTGGTATGAGACTTACTGATAGTGCGCATCCACGGCTCCTGCAAGCCCCAGGATTCGAACTCAGGGCCTTAGGTTTTGCACACGAACTGCCTAACCTCTGGACCACTGGGCCGGCATCCAGAGGTGTTAATGTTTAACTCTGATCAGTCTAAAGACGTTGAGCAACCTCACCCAAAATTCTGTCAAACTGTTAGCGAATATTCATATACAATTATCTTGGAAACGTTATGCGAGTGCTTTCACAGCAGGAGAGCGAAAGCTCTTGAAAACAACTTTGAAATTGTGTATAAATTTTGTTCAACTTATACTACGATTGTTTTATTTTTGATAATTTCAGAGCAGCCAAACCATTCATCATAGAATAATTATATTCTCCTGTTAATTATAATCAAAGTAATAAAATCTGGATTCGAAATACAATATGAACTGATTCAACTTGTCTTTACATTTATGATATATATTATTTGTACAGGAAGAATATATGTTTGTAATAATCGAGTTAGGGCCTGGAATGAATACATATCGGTTCAAGTTGTTCTACCACAGGAGTATAAAACGATGAAAATAACATAAGTGGTAAAGTAATCAAAATGATCGCTGTGATTATGATGCTGGAGAAGAAGGCTAAACACTCAAAGTATGTTTACGGAATGGGGATTAAAAAAGCTATATTCTGAAGAAGCAGTAGAAGGCAAGATCTAGAGGGATATAAAAAGTGAATTAACCGATTAGGAGACATCACTTCTCTGTAACTACTGACACTGGTTATCTCATCAACACTAAACATGTAATCTTTGCATACCTACATGCTCCAGTCCAACAGTTAGTGGCTTCATGTCCTGATAACACTTTTTGGTTTTCTCATCCCTTGCATTCTTCCAGCCTACTTCTACACTAGCCGTCGTTGTCTGTCGAGGTAGGTGGTGATTGGCCACATGTAATATAAACCCTACTTACTTCAGTTGGTGAAAATTCGCTAACTCGCCAACTGATTTGACTGGCACTATGAGTCTCACCACATCTTCGCGTGCTCACTGGCCGAGAAATACATGAGCAATGCTTTGAGGACATATATGATCAAACAGTAGTAACCTGTTAGTATCCTTTATTTTTGGTCGTATCTCAGTCATAAAATTCAACAGGACAAGGTTTCATGGAGCCTACTCGTTCTTCGGTTGTCAGATAGACCCCTTTCCAATACCACAAATAATGAAAGATGACCAATGTCAAATGAGCATTCTAAGTGAATTTCGGAGTTTATTCAAACACCGACCCATCAAGGCTGATGAAGCTTCTAAGATTAACAAAGTGGTCGACACATCATATGATTAGTCACAGCGTCGAATCAGATCGACCCTTAAACAGCATTTTGTATTTGGAAGGGCAGGTACGCACACCAAACCTGTTCAATGTGTTTGGAAACTTCTAACCTATGTTACTATATTCCCTAAGAACGATTTCGTTATCTACCTGCTCACATTTGTTTAAGGAGTTTCTAGTGAGTAAATATTTCAAAGTTGGATGATGAAAATGAGACTTATGGAAGGATATAGAATAAAATCATATAAGAAGGAGAGATGCGCAATAACCTTATCGAACACTACTGGAAGTTGAACATTTTGATAATAGTCTACCATTATAGACTGTCCTGACCAACAGTGTCTGAGTTAATTATCCTTTGCAGAGTTAAAAACATATTTGGTACACATGTTAATGGCAATCTTTGCCATCAAACTTCTCAATATACAGAGAAAAATGCTGCCGGGTAAATATGCCTATATTATAAGACCTTTTCGATCAACAAATGTATACCCAAGAATAGAATATAATTCTGTCAGCTAGATTATTTAATTGAAATATTGTTAAAATTCAAAAAACTTGATAAAACTAATCCATAAAAATACTTTCTTTCCCAGTATTACGATTTCTGATGTCAATCAGGTAAATACTTCCAAAATTTTAACTGATCTCGTTTATTTTATGACCACTGTATCACTTACCGATTTGTTTCTTTTAAAGAAACTTCATTTCTGCGTTAGTTTAGCTCTAGATGATAAGTTTCAAAGGAATCGCGTCTTACTTTAATATTGCCAATATCATGGGGTTTTTAAGCAAAAAACCCATGCCCAACCCTATTCCTTTATTCGAGTTTGGGACCGGTAGCAACTAAAAAGGAGCTAGTTCAGCCTGTTAATGCAACCAAATTTCATTTCAGAATTTATGTTTTTATTAGCATTTAACGAACTGATCATTAACGTGACAGTGTATTATGCTTTCTGTTTATTTTTACATCATTTCAGTTACAAATGAAGGCTTAGATAATAACTAATTAACTGTATATACAGAACGCGCATCCAGCTTCCATTAACATGTATGTATGATGATTTCTCAAGTTGAATTAAATGGATCAGGTGGTTCATGACTGCTAACTGATATCTGAAGATTAAATTATTCATTTATTTCCATCTCACTCATTGCTCAAGACTTAATGGTATCAGACGATAAATAATAATTAATCTTGAATAAATTGCTTTAGATATGTGATTTACTTTTGAGAATAAGTGTTATTTTTTGCAGGAGCTAATTAGAACTGTGATAAAGCTTAATTAATTTTGACATGAATACCAGCTGTGAGATGTAGGTACATCCAGGTGACGAGTCCCAAACAGGACGGAGCACGCGTCATGGATTCCACTGCTAGCCAAATTCAGTCGATTTTATCTAATAAATCACTTTATGAAGTAAATTTTTCAACTGAATTGTTAAAAAATGATAATCATATTTTTTATCACATAAAATTGCCATCTTTTCTCTATGCTATGAAAAAAATGTTTTCAAGATTCAATCTGAATTGATAAAAAATAAATAATAATTTAATTCGTTTCAATAAAAAGTGGTTGTTTAACTAAAATTAGTTGGTGATGTAACTTAAAAGACTAAGCGAATTAATTTTGGATGAATGAATGAGAAACTATGCAAAATAATAAGATGAATAAATAAAACGCCACTAGAAATTTTAAAAAAATCTTACTTGTTGTGCTGACATTTTTAAATTATTCGCCATTAGTTCACGTTCTTGAGCAGATAAATAACGTTGTTGTTTAAATCGACGTTCTAATTCGTAAATTTGTGTTTGTGAAAATAAAATACGCGGTTTACGTCGATTACGTTGACGTATTAAAATAAAATCAGATTTTTTATTCTTTATGATTTGTAAATCTTTCTTATCTAATTCACTGTTATTATTATTATTATTACTAGTTTTATTGTGATTAAGAATATTGTTATTTTGATTATGGAAATAATAATTATTGTAATAATTATTTTGTTGATTTAAATGTACCGTAGTATTCAATTCATTTGTATTCAATGTTAAATTCTGATAATCATTAATACATTGAACATGACGTTGATGATTTGCTAATGACGATTGTCCATAAAATATTTGATCATCATGCAAGGGATTTATTGTGGTTAATGCTGTTATGAGAAAAAAATTTGAGAAATATGAGTATGAGGTGAATACTGTCGAATTAAAAAAAAGTAGCATAATTCAAATCAAAATTAGGAAACATCCTTTTCACCTGCAAAAGTATTTAGAAATCTCCAATACCATCATCCAATTAGATTGAATCACTAATTTCATTGTGTAAAAAAACTGCTTGGTAATAGAACGAATAACCTACTTCTAAGTTCATTTATAACAACCGTCCATATCATGAATCTCATGTTAATAGGATGGAAGTTATAGTAGTAGTAGTTATTGTTTTTCCCAACTATTTATATCATTTATCAAGTTAAAAAGTTAAGTGAATAACTACACTGAATTACATAGCTGTCTTTAACAGAGAGACTGGTTCTTTCACTAATTAAACGGTATATCCTGAGAAGTTGTAAAATCAAGTTTTTAAAGAAGATTATTCGAAAATTTATATTTTAATAAATAGAACTTTCTATGCATTCCTGTTTGTATTTAGTTTATTTTGTATTATTCATTCATTATTGATAACTTGTGTAATTCATATTCAAAATCTCATGTTCTTTGATTTCTTTCTTTAATTATTTCTTAATCCGATTTATCTTTTGGAGTATTTAGACTTAAAAATGAAGAGAGTTGTAGTATACATTGTAGAAGTTCTTGTTAAACTTCTCTCTGTTAACATATTTTTTCATTATAGTATTATGGAGATCGTTGTTTTACATTAAAATCATGAATGAACCATTGTTAAACCACCACTAGAAACCTGGAAGCACTGGACAGCCGTTTCTTCTTGGTATGGGGCTCATTGGCAGTGCACATCCATGACTCCTGTTACCCTCAGGATTCGAACCTAGGGTCTTCGGTCTTGCTCGTGAATGCTTAACTTCTGGGCCATTGAGCAAGTATACAACGATGTTAATATCTAACTCTGATCAACACCTATGCGTAGTAAGTGATTCAGGTTCCATATCGATTCAAATTCATTAAGCTTACCCAAATTGTTCGTTTTATATTATTTATGTTATTTGCTGAAATATTTTTATCATACTGAATATAAATGTAACTGACCATCTCTAGTAATCTTATATTCTCTTGTTTAAACAATTATATTTCTCAATCATTAAGGCATAGCATAGATTGATGTAAACTATGCTTAACCTTTGGAAATATGATGCTTTAAATTCAATTAATAAATATCTTTTATGGTCAGTAACAACTTATATATTACAATTAGTTCAGATGTTTACAAGAATTGTCGTATACTAATTGTTAAAGGCTGCTACTTACACTAATGATTATTTGTTGACATTAAAATTTCAAATTGCGTTTAAGTGTTACGAACAAAATTCAAAAACTCTTCTTATACCGTCTACAATTTGTGACAGTAAATTTAGGAAAACTCTAGAAACAAGTCATAATTTTATTAAATATATACTCTTGACTAATTCTGCTCACAGATGTGAAGAAAATAGTGTACTACATCATCTAATAAGTTGCAGTCGATAGATGTTGAATTAAGACATATAGTGTGATCTCTTGATCGAGACAGTCAGTGCTTACCACTGCAGTTACAAGCCTGAGTTATCTTTATTAAAGTAGGATTATAGAGTAAGCAAAATAGTTCAGTGTTATCAAATTATGTGAATCAACTGGGAACAATAGTTTCTTGAAGATGACAAAGCATTTTGCAATTGGTTGATGACAATAGCAACTAGAAGGGGATATAACTCTTAGGGTTTCTATTAATCTAATAGTTTTAATGACTACTATTTAACAGTACACAGAAGATATTTTTAAAGATTTGAAGACAGCTACTTAGATTATCATACTAGTCTTATTTAAACAAAATTAGCTTCGGCGGTATTAGCTCTTGAGATCCAATAATAAAAGATCAGTAATTTAGACTTTCAAGGTTACTTCGAAAGCCAACAAAGATTTCATTCACTTATTAAGTTAACTCTTTTCTATCTATTATTCTACAAGATAAACTACACGTAGATTGAACATAAAATGGGCATGAAAAAAAATATAAACACTTACCATCATTTGATAATTCAGTTTTTGAATAACCACTTGTACTAGTGGTAATTTTATCTGAATTAAAAAGTCTATTCAATTCGCCATTTTGTTCAATTAGTCTATTTGAACAATAATCCATTGGAAATGGCAAATTATACAATGGATGTCTATTGTTATTACTGGTAGTATTATTATTGTTATGAATATTGTTTGAAAATTCACTTGAATGAAAAACTGTTTCATTGCTACTAGTATTATTATTATTAGGTAGATAATCATTGCGGGATGATGATGATGATGTTGATGATAATGAAGCGGAATTTGATACTGATATATCTAATGATGATGAAACAATAATGGAGGAACCATCTTGACATTCAATTACTGACTGATGTGACTGATGATCAAGATGATGTTGATGATTGTGATTTAAACTAGTTAATAGTGTATTAGCTGTTATTGGAGTTAAACAATTTCCATTATCTTCAGAAGCATCTATTTTATCACTTGTTGTATTAATAATTTGTTTATTCAAGTGTTCATTTTCAACAGCTTCAATTGATTTTTGATCAATGTTCAAGTGATCATTTAAAAAAGTATGAGTTGATTGATTAATCTGATGTGGTATAATTTGTTGTTGATGATTACTATTTAAATTAATGAAAGAATTATTATGAGGATTATGATAATAATCATCAGTATAATTAAATAAATTTGATTCACGTGGAATAGTTAACATGTTATCTGATTATGAATGAGTTCATTTTGAATTCTTTAATATTAAATTAAAATGAAATATTATTGCGAAGATAATTTTTATATATGGTTAACTCAGCTTTGAAAAATACCACCTGTTTTTTTGTTGTTGATTAGTACATCTTTTATAATAATGAACAATGGTGTATTGCCTTGATTCGTACTTTATCCTCTTGGGTATGTTGATAGATTTAATTTATCTGGTTGTCTGTCAATATGCAGGGATCAATATACATAGAATTATTGTATGTGTTTATATCATATCAAGTCGATGCAGTGTGTTTTATTTATAAAGATCATTGATAAATAAATATAATTATCAAATATGTATATATATATATATATATATATATTCACATGTATAAATGGTGAGTGATTTATTTTCTATCAGAAGAAATATGTAATCCACTTTGATTTTCTTCCCTTCATCCATTTTCCTGCCTGCCTTGTTTTTTTCCTTAATTGATTCTTGTTAGATTTTTCCCTGTTCTGTAAAATTCTGTAAAGAAATTATGAAAACATTCATTTACGAATCAAATAATCAACCAATGAATAAAAAAGTTTTTAGTTTTGCTTTTCACCAAAACTCTATCTGATGTAGTGAATACTAGGGTTACAAAAAAAATGGAAAATGTACTTGTCTATACATGGTGAGAGATGAATAGAAGTTTGAGGAAAAAGTCGTCTGTTGATAGGATAATTTTACGGATTAAAGCAACAATAAAACAATTTCATATGTGATTGGTTATATTTTTAGGGAGAAATAATAATCATAATTAAATGTGGGAGTGTAACTGTTTGATTAATAATTTTTATAATGAACTATCAGAAGCTACGTAATATATAAGATACCTCTAAGGTAACTGTTTCAATTTAATCATAGACTTTTCAATAATGTGTAACAACAACTACCTCACACAATATGAAATTCTAATCCTTTGATTTTCGTGAGAAATTCATTCACTTAAGTATTGATGTAATTTAATCCTGATCTAATGTCAATAGCATTTGGCTTCAAAATGATTTGTTGAAATTTGTAAAGAGAAGCTTTGAATTCAATGCAGGAGAAAGTTTGTTATTCACCGATGGCACTTATTTATTTTTGCGATTTTTAAATAAATTTGACGGAGTTGCAGTTGATGACTGGACTTGGGATATCATGTTTCTGGATTTTACTCTTTGTCCAGTTGTCAGTGCACGCACACTCTTGTAGATCTTCAATGAGATAGAATGAAAACTCAGTCGTCTTAGGTTCATGCCAATATGTAGTGAGAATTACTTTCAAAGTGATGAAACAGTAGAACTAAGTTTCTGGCTAACCGACACTTGTTAGTAAGGAGTACCAGTTACCCTGCGCGAATTGTTACTCCCTATTAGCTTCAGACGCCTTTTATCTGGCTTCATTATCTGAGGTGCTGTCATCAAGCTATTCGGTTCACAACTGGCCATACGGATATACTTAAATTAATTGGTTGCTGACTGAAAACCAGCATGTTGTCTATCTAGTTCCTACTACTGGTAGAATTTGAGTCGAGAAAATGAGAAGAACTTGCATAGAAGAATGAATGATTGGACGAAATAAAATAAATTTCTTTATCTTAATTGTAGGAAAATATTGAGATTAAACGTTTGTATTCACAAAAATGTTTAATTATTAAGTCCCAAAAAGACAACAACTGAGTTTCCTGGGTACTAGCAATAAAGCAAGCCTTTCCAACATATCAGTATAGGGTTGTGGGGATCGTTGAGTTTCATTGAAACCATGAACCAATCACTGTTTGACCACCAATGAAAATCTGAAAGCACTAGAGTGTCGTTTCACTGTAGTATGGGGTGCGATAAGCGGAAATCGAAACCCGGATATTCGGTCTCGAGCGCGAACCATACTGTACTAGGATGAAAGAGCCATTCAGTGCTTCCAGATTTTCAGTTTATACTGCTGTATGTTATTGAAATAATCAGTTGGTCATAATCAATATAAAAAGGAACATACTTGTGTATCAGTTCAGTTTACCACACCGTTTCAATACAGTGAGATAAAGTGTATAGCGAATATTAGCAGTAATATGTTCATCTGGAAATGCAAAAATCTAGAGAATGTATATTTGAACGAAGAAATAAATTGGTCGAAACAAGAAAATAAAGTGAATTTAAGATTTAGAATAAGATCCACTTAAATCGATGTCCATTCATGTTGCCTAATATCTTCAGTCATAGACTTTAATAATCACATAGGCTTTAACCGCTACGTTTACACTTCTTTAAACAGTTCATCGCGACAACATTAACTTATTTGACTTATACTGTAATTCGTTTTGGCTGTTATGAACATTATTCAAATAAGTTTAGTTTTATCCATATAATTCAGCATTTTCAAAATATATGATAATGTAGAATACAGTGGTTGATGATAATCTTGCTTATATAAGATGAGAATCATTAGGAGAATTTTTACCATAAATCAATTTAAAAAGCATGGATTATTTAAATTCACACACATTGACACTTTAACAAATAACAGGATGTCAAACATCGATGAAGTTCATCTATAAATTGTCGACTAATAAAAGTCCTGTCTTTAGGAAACAAAATATCTTGTAGTGTACACATAAAGATCAGTTGAACAAGTATCGAGATCAAAGACTGTTAATCATTATTTTTCATTTAGTAATTTGATAGTAAAATATACAATCAAAGACAAACATACTAACGATTTGTACATGTTAAAATCAGATCACACTTAGTATGATTTCAGTTCAGTTGCAAATGAAATAACAAATAAACAATAAATATCATTTCATTTAAAACTTACTTAAAAATGAACGATCAAGATATAACTTATCTATGTTACGTTGTATAACGTTTGTAACAAGCTTTTTAATGGAAGATTTGTGATAGTCTCATGGTACTTTTAATAAATAAATAAAAAACAGGCATTAACTAGGGAACTACTCGAAATCATGTAGTAGTAGAATCGTATTAGTTAATAACATTATGTGTAAAATCAATAAATCTAGAAAAAAACAGCAAATTCTAACTCGTCAATCGAATACAATCTTGTTTGTGGTAAAATTTCGGAAGGTAACACTTTCCATTTTCACAATTAGATCTACAGTATGCATGTCTGTATTAAGAATTCCAAAAGTAGAATAAAACACCAGTGTAGTATTTTATATGTTACCAATGATTCTTCGATTGATTTATAGAATTGACATGATAATCAAGAATAAGACAACGGTTTATAATCAACATTGAAAATCTTATTCACACATTTCATACTGTATCGTACCATTATTATTCATAATGTTTATGAATAAAATGACTAGAATTCTTGTTAACATATCATGCAGAACACTTATAATGTATGAAGATGCAACTCTACAATGAGTCATGCATCTACTCATGCTTACCCACTTACTTACGCCCGTTACCCTCAATGGAGAATAGGCCGCCCACCAGTTTTCTCCCATCCTGGGCTCCTCTTTCTAGTTCTTTCCAGTTTTTGTTCATTCTTCTCATGTCTTTCTCTATTTCTCGGCGTAATGTGTTCCTTGGCCTTCCTCTTTTCCCTTTGCCTTGAGGGTGTAGTGTGCCTATAACTGCGTGTTCTTAAGCTCGTTTATAAATCAGAAGATAAACTCCAAGTATCGTATACATTTATTCGAGGCACACCACATAGCGAAGTGAAGAAGCGACGTGGAGAAGGCTAGTGAGCCAACTCAAAGAGATAGAGTATGACTAAGAATATATAGTCAGATAAGAATAAGACAGACAGATGACAAGCGAAATAGGTATGCACACACATGAATAAAAGCGACGAATGATTGACAAGGTCAAATGACAAGCGATACAAATCGTGTGAGTTCATGGGAATATTACGAGATTAACATTAAAGCGAAAAGGATGAGTAAGTGCGTAAGCGTAAGCAATGCTCAGTCGTACTAGCTAATACAAAGCAGATAATAAAAAATACCAATGGTACATATGAGTTGTTGCTATACAAATGGCTTAGTTAAATAAATTAATCGAAAGGGCTTAACCAAGTTAGATGTAAGAGTACTGGAATATATGTGGAGGCACTACAAGGGTTCCATATGAGGGCTTGTCTTGTGACGCAGTTAGGTGCTTTTCGTAGTGTGTCCTATCCACTTCCATCGCTTCTTCCTCATTTCCTCCTCCACTGGAATCTGGTTTGTTTTCTCCCACAGTACGTTATCGCTGATAGTGTCTGGCCAATGAATCCGAAGTATTTTGTGAAGACAACTGTTAATAAACACTTGTATCTTCTAGATGATGGCTTTGGTAGTTCTCCATGTTTCCGCTCCATACAGTATAACTGTCTTGACATTTGTATTGAAAATCCTGATCTCGGTTTCGCTTGAAAGTTGTTTGGAGTTGCAGATATTTTTCAACTGTAGAAATGCAGCCCTTGATTTGCCGATCCGCGCCCTCACATATGCACCTGATCCACCTTGATTGTCGATGATGCTGCCCAGATATGTAAAGGTGTTAACGTCCTCCAAGGCATCTCCATCAAGAGTGATTTGGTTGGTGCATGTTGCGTTGTTTCGGAGAATCTTACTTTTCCCTTTATGTATGTTGAGACCTACTGCTGCAGAGGCCGCTGCTACACTGGTTGTCTTCTCTTGCATTTGTTGTTGTGTGTGCGATGGAAGAGCCAGGTCATCTGCGAAGTCCAGACCGTCCAGCTGCGTCCTAGCTGTTCACTGAATACCATGCTTCCCTCCAGAAGAAACGCCGCATTAAACTGCTGTGATGTTGTCTGCCCCGTTGTTCAGTGCTTCTTGAGTTTCAGTTTCATTTTGGCGACCAGCAAGTTGTGATCTGAGGCTATTTCAGCTCCTCTCTTGGTTTTCATATGCTCCGTGGTCCTTCTGAACGTTTTGTTGATACAGATATGGTCGATTTGGTTTTGAGTAGTGTGATCAGCTGAAATCCATATATCTTTATGTATGCACTTGT